CTCCTAACCCCCCAGGCCTAGCATGTGCGTGTGAAAGGTCACACCCAGGCCCCAAGGACTGGCCAGCACATGCAAAGGCCCAGCCTCTCTTCCTGGCCACCACAGGCAAGTGTCTGGCTGGGGCCTGAAGCCAAGTCCATCTCCTCTGAGGACCAGGGTCAGGAAACAGATGACATGCCACAGGACACTGTGGCTGGGTGTGGAGGAGAACTTCCTGAGTAAGAGAGAGGGTGAAACCGAAAAGGCATGACTTGCCAAGAAACCACCCGGCACCTAACCTGCCCTCAATGGAGCCGGGCTATGGGAGGCCACCCAGGCTCCCACCCTCCGGCTGGCGAAGCATCTTTGGGCTCCATGACCCTGAGACTCAGCTCCCGCCTTTGGGAGTCCCTCCTTTGTGCGCAAGTGCAGGGAGCCCCCACCCCCTGCAGTTGTGGAGAGGCGCTGTCCTCCTGAGCTGCAGTCCTGTCTCCCCAGGGGCCAGCCTGGCCTGAGGGGGGAGCCCAGGCTTGGAGCGGTGCCAGCAGGAGGCCAAGCGCCTCCACTCTGCAAACACGGAGCCTCACACGGCCCACGGCCTCTCAGGAGGAAGGCAGTTGCCTGCCCCAGACCTGTGCTGGGGACCCACCTCTTGGGCTCAGTCCCTTCCATTCTAAAATGGGGCTGTTGACTGAATAAACAAAAATAAAAATAAATAAAATGGGGGCAATGACATATGCCTTGTATAGCTAAAATAGATGCAAAAGATAGCTAATTTCATTACGGGCTTATTCTCTGCCGGGACTTGCCACTCACTATCTCTTTTCATCCTCATAACAACTCATATTACCCCCACTGCGCAGATGAGGAAACTGAGGCTAAGTTAAGCCTCATGCCCAAGGTCAGACAGCCAGTAAGGGCAACAACCCCATTCTCTCTCTCTCTCTCTCTCTCTCTGTCTCTCGGCATGCATGTGTGTGCATGTATAGCATGTGTGTATCTGTGCATGTGTGTGTGTGTGTGTAGCATGTGTGTATCTGTGCATGAGCAAGTGTGAATGTGTGTAAAAAGGCACAAGTGTGTGTGTGTGTGTGTGTGTGTGTGTTGGGCGGCCTGGCAGAGGCAGAGAGGCACCATGCCCGGCCACGTGAACCAGCTTGGAGGGGAGCGGATTGGGAGACTGTACTTTGCCAGTGCTTGTTCTCCTGGGCACTAGGCCTGGGTGGCGCCAGCCTGTTTTCCCAGGGAATTAACAGGGGAACACTCTCCTCTGTAATAATGATAAAAACAGTAGTAATTAACAGGCCTGTAGCTAATATTTCCCTCGCGCCTCTGTCCCCAGACCTCAAAACTCTGGGTAAACAGCCAACCTACTGGCTTTATGGCCACACCCCTGGGCCTGCGAAGCCTGAGGACTTGCCCGATTTTCCGTCCCCTGCAGCTGGGAGGCCAGTGCGGGTGCGCACTCCAGACCCACCTGTGCCAGGAGCTGCCCTTCGGGCGCCAGTGGCAGAGCTGGGCAGCTGTCTCGGGTCCTCTCCTCCTGCTTCCCAGGATCACCCTGGGCCCGCGAGCAGCAGAGTAAGGAAGGGAGGGAGCGAGGTGTCAGCTGCCTTTGCCCCTCAACCCCTGGGCTCCCCAGCCGGCCAGCCCTGCCTCAGGGAGAATGCCCTGCTCCTGCAGCCCGTGGGGCCATGTGTGGCCGGCGGGTCTGGTCCCTGCAGAGGACAGCTGATGGCTTTCTCTGGTCCCAGCCAGGAGTCATTACACTCCACATGTCTAATTTAAACAAGCGATTAGGCAGCTCTATTAGGATCGCCCGTGCTTCCCACCTGGGACCGACAGAACTTCCCGAGGTGGCTGGTGGGAGGGATGTGACCGTAGCATCCGCCTCCCCCCCGCCCCCCAAGCTTTTCCCAGAGAGTTCAGTGTCAGGGGGAGCATCCCGGGTCCTGAGAGCCGGCCTCCTGAGCGATGTGAAGCAGGACCGATCTTCAGACAGCGCCCACTCCCCACTGTCCGGGCAGCCCACCCGCACCCTGGCAGGAAGGACCGTAAGCAATTTAAATGGACAGACAAGCCAAGACTCTCTTGTGGCCGGTGGCTTCAACCTCCCCCCACACCCCTGAAAAGCAGTGACTGGGTGTGAGTTCTAGTCCTCTGCTTTCTCCCAAAGCTGTGGGACAAGGAGGGGGCAGGGGAGGCACCGCCAGGACTGGTCCATCGTAAGCGCATTCCCCCAGCACGTCGAGAGGGAGAGAGGGGGGGGGCTCCTACATATCCCTATGGGCGGAGTGAGGAGTCTGGGAACAAGTGCAGTTGTGTGCAAACACGTTTGTGAGTGAGCCTGTGTCATGCGGGTGAGTCTTTCTGGAGGGAAGGCCCAAAGCTTGCATCAAATTTCCAATGGTGCCGATGACTGCCCCTCAGTCAGTTCTGAACACGATGGGTTGTCGCCTTCCATAAAGGGGACTCTCTTTCAGAAGCCAGTGGTGGATGTTGGGGACTGGACTCTGCCTGCTTGAAGAGGGGGGCTTAGGATGGGTTTGGGGACACCAAGGCAGACTATGACAGGCAGGACCGTGGCTGCCCCCAATACCGAGGCGGCCCCCAAGTGCCTTCCTCATCACCTCATTTTCCCATTGCGACAGCTCCGTACCTACTGTTTCCTGTCACCCCGTGACAGCCTTCTGACGATGAAGGCGGCGTCAATGTCATCTAAATTCCTCCAGAAGCCCGGGGGCTGGACACAGACCAGGCTCAGGAAGCTGGGAACTAAATGCTCTGCAGGGCAGAGTGGAAGGAACAGCCTTTAGATTATGGAAGACCCTAGTTCAAGGCCTGCTTCTGTCTCTTACCAGCTGTGTGACCTTAAACAAATGACTCACCTGCTCTGGGTGTCAGTTACTCTATCTGCAACACGGGACGTTCTCACAGGGTTATGTGGACGATTAAGCGACCTTGTGCTGAGAGACTGGCATGGGCCCACACACAGCAGGAGCTCAGAGTGCGTTCTTGCTCCAGCAGGATGGGGCGGGGCCTGTACCCCTCTAGCTCTGAGCTGCCCCCCTGCAGGACCAGAGAAAAGGTTGCTTGGTGAGAGGTGAATGCAGCCGGAAGCCATTTCCCCTACACTGGCGACCGACATCTCCCAGTCCTCCGGGCTCACCCGGGCCCTTCTCCTCCTTGAAGCTCCCCTTACACTGCTCTTTCCTGACATCCCACAGTTCCCATCTGAGCTCTCATCAGTCTCCTGCCGCCTCCACTGGGTCTCTCTCTGATGAGAGGGGTCACCGGCTCACCTTAATCAAAGAGCAGACCCTCAGCTGCTCCAGCAGCTGCCCCCACCCCATTCTGCCCACCCTCCCCGGCCTGGCCTCCTCTTCCCTTCCCTGACCTGTGCAGGAACTGGCTGCTCTCGGGGCACGTTCAGGCCTTTGAGCTTGTTGCTCTGCAATGTCCTCCCATTCTCCAAGTTGAGAGCTTTTAATTATCCTCCAAGTGTCAGCTCCGTTGTCATCTCCTTGGTGACACCTGGCCCCCCTCCTGCTCCCGCAGCACCTACCCTAGTTTAGCAGGAGCCACGGAGGGACTGCCTGCCTCCCTAGACTGAGCTTCTCAAGCAGGGGCCGAGCCTGCTCCATCGGCTGCCCTCTGCCTTGCACGGGGCCTGGCACATGGTGGGTGCTCAGTACATGTGGGCTGGGGTGAAGGGGCAAATGGCGTGGTTGCCCATGGCTGGCAGTGGGGTCCCCTTTAACAGAAGGCTTCTTGTAAAGGTGGCAGTCCCCCGTCACGGGTGGCTAACTTGGGTCCTGCTGGAGTTTGGTCCAACCCTGTCCAGGCTAAATGAGCAGGAATCCCATCTGGATTCCATACATGGCCACTCCCAGCCACCGGGCCAAGGCCCACAGAGGGCTTGTCGGTCACCCAGAACCTTCCCTGCCTTGCACCTGCACGGGGAGGAAGAGGAAGAGGATGGGGAGGGGGTGAGGAAGGGAATTCACAATTGTGAGCTGGCAGTGTTGGGCATCGCTCAGTGGGACTGGCATCCTTAACTCATTTCACAGATGAGGACACCGAGCTCGAGGGGACGGACTTGCCCAGAGCCATGTAAGATGTTGCAGAGCTCAACACTGGAACCGGGTTGGTCCAGCTCTAGAATGAGAGTTCTTTTTTTTCTTTACAGGGGTGGGGAACCTTTTTTTCTGCCAATGCCACTTGGATATTTATAACATCATTTGTGAACCATACAAAATTATCAACTTAAAAATTAGCCTGCTCTATTTGGTCAAACATTTAACTAACTCACCCCAATGCCTTGGCAGGGCCAGACCACATGATTTTGAGGCCTGCAGGCCACACACTCCCCACCCCTGCTTTACAAGATGCTGCCTTCAGGGTGTGTGTGTGTGTGTGTGTGTGTGTGTGTGTGTGTGAGAGAGAGAGAGAGAGAGAGAGGTTTTCCTTCACTGACGATGAAGACAGAATGGATGGAGGATGGCTTGAATCAGTTGCCAAGGTGGCTTTCCTCCAGCCTGTCTGGATGGTGCCAGAAGATGCGCCCTGGGGTTTAGGTTGTGTTTACAAGGCCACCCTCTGAGCAGACATCCCCACCCGAGGAATGGCTATTTTAGCCAAGTGAGTTCCTCCTTTAACTCAGTTAACAACCCAGGGCCGTTATCCGCCCATGTTTCTGTCTGACCATGATTGGTTACTTGTGCTACTTGGCCAAAGCCTCGACCCCAAAGGGGTGAGGAGGAAGATGGAAAAAGTGAGGGGAGGGAAGGAGGAAGCCCTCCATGGTGAGAGGAGCGGGAAGGGAGAGTGGGGGGCGGACTTCAGACAGAAGGGGGGCCAGGTTGCTCAGACTGGACCAGCCCATCTCATCAGGGACTTGAGTGCCTTTATTTCTGATCAGAAATATATGGCCTGAAAAAACCTGAGACTTATTTCTGTGATTTTCTGATGTGCTTTTTCTCTAGTTTTTAGTGAATGTTCCTTTCCAAACAAACTACTTTTGTTTCTGTTGAAATTGAGAGGAACTAGGGATGGTAGGCACCTGCAGTACAGCCCCTCAGGGGTAGCAGCCGGCAGCACACACGGGAGGACAGAGGACAGAGGACGGGGGACAGAGGACGGGGAGAGGGGAGGACCAGCGATCACATCCAGAAAGGAACATGGCTGCGAAGAAGGTGGGATTTCCTCCCCCATTTCAGGCCCCAGGTGAGATTCCGGGACCACCCAAAGCACTATATTCTGAGTGGGGTTCTGTGGCAACTTTTACAGCTTCCTGTGCGGTGCCGTGAGGGTGGCGGGCCTGCTCCTGGAACATGGCTGCGAAGAAGGTGGGATTTCCTCCCCCACGGGAGCTGTTTCAGGCCCCAGGTGAGATTCCTGGACCACCCAAAGCACTATATTCTGAGTGGGGTTCTGCGGCCACTTTTACAGCAGCTTCCTGTGCGGTGCCGTGAGGGTGGCAGGAGTGGGAGAGGAGGTGCCCGCGGGTGGCCTGCAGTGAGGATGATTCTGGCTCCACGTGGGAAAGGAGCAAGGAGGCAAAGAGAGGTTGGAAAGTTAAGGGGGAAAGGCCTCGAGGAGCCTGGTGCGGCAGGGTTAATGGTTCCTTTCCTTCAAGAGCGATGCCATGCCCGCTGCATGAGTAAAACACTCCGCGATTGTAAAAGACGGTTCCACAGTGTATTAGGAGCCACCACCATGTTACCCCTCCGTCAGCTACCAGCAGGGTGACTGATGACTTATCAGAAGCCACTGTGACATTTCCAAATGAGATGTTTTGATAGAGGTGCCATTCAACAGGGCCAAAAAGCCAGCTAGACTCCGAATGTAAATGAGGAACATCTGTCACCTTTGTCTCACCTGTTTAAAGGGGTCTTGTCTGACAACAAGGCCTTCTGCAGGAGGGAGAGGAGAGGGAGGTGTACTGGAAAATGGCAAGTGAGAGGACAGGGGAGGGCTCCCTAGAACAGAAAACATCAGGGTGACATCGGACAAAGTGGTGGGTCCTTTCCCCCACGGGTGCTGGGGGTGGAGTCCTTTGGATAAGAATTTCCTGAGACTTGCATGGGAGAATGAGTGATTTTTATTTGTGTGGAATGATATCCCTGGGTTTCTCTTAGTCCAGTTACCGAGGAGGTGCAGCTGGGGTTTCAGTACAGCGGGAAGCAAAGCCAGGGTCCAGAGCTCCACTCCATGTTGCATTTGGGTCCAGTACAGCATCAGACTAGTCACAGCCCATCAGTCCATTGTGTGTGGGGTCCTCATGGCCATGGGCCACGTGGGCAAATGCAGGAGAGCCCAGACGTACAAGTCCCAAGAGACCCAAGAGCAGCAAGGGCAAGCGAGGGAGCTCTTGTGTTCAGGGGATTACATATCCCGAATTTCTTGCCCTTGCAGTGGCCACACTCATTCTGGCCAATGACCTTTGTTCTCAGGGGTGACTGACAGCAAGCACCTTCCCTAAGTCACCCCAACTTTACTGGGCATGCGTCTATCTCCCCGTTGTTGGGCCCCTGGGGAGTGTAAGGTTGTAGCTTCCTGGCGAAGCTGCCCAAATGACCTGCCTATAACATCTGGCCTTCCCTCTGCTCCCTCCTATTATTAATAAGTAGGTTAATGACAGCAGTATCGGGGGCAGCAGACGCCAGGTGAGATGGCCCTCACAGTGACTCAGCAGAACGGAGCCGCAGCAAGAAGAAAGGCCTGTGCTGTCCGGTGTGGTGGCCCTGAGGTGGCCCTGGAGCACTTGGAATGTGGCCCGTCCAAGCCGAGACGTGCTGTAATGTAGATGCACACCACTTGGGAAGGCTTGACATGGAAAAGGAATGCAAACTATCTCACTAAGAACTCCGTTATGCTGATCACATTTGAAAAGACAATGTTCTAGATATATTGGGTTCAATAACGCTATTACTTTTTACTTTTTAAATGTGACTGCTGAAATACTGAAATCACATATGTGGTTTGCATTACAATTCTACTGCACAGTGTTAGTATAGACCCGTGGTCGGCAAACTGCGGCTCGCAAGCCACATTCGGCTCTTTGGCCCCTTGAGTGTGGCTCTTCCTAAGCCTTAGGAGTACCCTAATTAAGTTAATAACAATGTACCTACCTATATAGTTTAAGTTTAAAAAATTTGGCTCTCAAAAGAAATTTCAGTCGTTGTACCGTTGATATTTGGCTCTGTTGACTAATGAGTTTGCCGACCACTGGGCTAGACCAGTGTTCCTCAAGTTTTATTGAGTCTGAGAATTAACTGCAGAGAATGTCGAAGCACAGATTTGGGGCCATGCCCTCAGAGATTCTGATTCAACAGGTTTTGGGTGGGGCTTAACAATGTGCAGGTCTAACAAGCTCACACCGGATGCCAATGCTGCCTGATGCTGGTCCAGGGACCGCACTGCGTAGCCCTGTCCAGATTCTCCCTCTTCAGGCTGAAGTCTCCCCTGTGACCCTTGGGGTCCTGGTTGGGTGGCTCAGTTGGCTGGAGCGTCGTCCTGGGCACCAAAGGGTGGTGGGTTCAATTCCTGGTCAGGACACATACCCAGGTTTCAGGTTTGATCTCCAGTTGGGGTGCTGTATGGGAGGCAACTGATTGATGTTTCTCACATTGATGTCTGTCTGTCTGTCTGTCTGTCTCTAAAATCAGAGATGTGAGGGGAACAGGCACTACTGAGGTGAGGCTGTGGACCCAACCTCCCAGCACCTTCCCTCGGGTCAGGCCAAGGTGGGAGATGAGGCAGCCAGTGGCGGCAGGCACGGGTGGGGGAGTGAAGGGGGAGGAGGAACTTGAGGCAGGTGGCCCCGCTAAAGTGACCGAAGGCAAGAGAGCCGTGGGGCTCTAAGCAAGGGAGTCCCTTCCTCCGCAATTCCAAGTTCCGTGCGCTTTCTACCTTCCCAGGCGCCTCGGGTTAGTGCTTCCACCAAACAGGGCTGGCACCGGATATGAGGTGCCA